GAGGACTGGCACGGCCGTGGGTCATGGGAACTCTGTCAGAGTTTCCTGCCAGCTTTTAAATTTAGTTCTGACCCGCTAAATTTAGACTGTGATGCTCGATGGCCAGAAGTCGAGGCAATTGAAGGAGATCGAGCGCGGAGGGATGTAGAAAAACCTGAGATGAACTCTTGGGGTGACGATGCAGATCTGGAGAGTCCCAAGGTTTTGTCCCCTGATCTGGGGATCTGCGATCTTCCTCTGCCCTTGGGGTGGTTTTGAATCATTCTTCCTTGCTGTTCAGCCTGAAAATCCCCATTTTGATTTTGCTCGTGCCCAAAACAGACATGGTTAAGAACATAAGAAGAGAGCCTGGCTGGATCCGACCAGCGGTCCATCTAGTCCAGCATCCTGTCTCACACAGTATCCAGACGGTCATCTTTATCTCTTCATCATTTCTGGGGTTTTTTCATGCTGAGTTTTTCCTGTAAAAGGTATGCTTTTTTCCACCCTGATTTGGGCACCCATAAATCGACTAGTGACATGCATTGCATGTATTAAAGCCGGATACAGTGCATGTGTTATATTTTTTAAAAAGTACAAACCAGTCTACAAAACCAGAAAAAATAACTCTCGAAAGAAATGAAATTGGGAACAGTTATTCACGTCTGTGTTGTGATTTAGTTGACATAATGGCCCTCTCTTTTTTATATGGGTTTCAAGTGATTTTATTTTGCTGTTGGCCTTTCATACTTTATTTGTATTGAATGTTCTACTGTGTGGTTTGCATTGAGTGGAAGTGTAAGAACATAAGAACATAAGAGAAGACAATGTTGGATCAGGCCAATGGCCCATCTAGTCCAACACTCTGTCACACAGTGGCCAAAAATACCAGGTGCCATCAGGAGGTCCAGCAGTGGGGCCAGGAGGACACTGGAAGCCCTCCCACTGTTGCCCCCCCTCCAAGCACCAAGAATACAGAGCATCCCTTGCCCCAACCTGAGAGTTCCTATCTAGACCTTGTGGCTAGTAGCCGCTGATGGACCTCTGCTCCATATAAGAACATAAGAGAAGCCAATGCTGGATCAGGCCAATGGCCCATCTAGTCCAACACTCTGTCACACAGTGGCCAGAAATACCAGGTGCCATCAGGAGGTCCAGCAGTGGGGCCAGGACACTAGAAGCCCTCCCACTGTTGCCCCCCCCAAGCATAAAGAATACAGAGCATCACCTGCCCCTGTACCTATCTATACCTTGTGGCTAATAGCCACCGATGGACCTCTGCTCCATATGCTTATCCAATTCCCTCTTGAAGCTGTCCATGCTTGTAGCCGCCACCACCTCCTGTGGCAGTGAATTCCATGTGGTAATCACTCTTTGGGTGAAGAAGTGCTTCCTTTTACCTGTTCTAACCCGACTGCTCAGCAATTTCATGGAGTGCCCACGAGTTCTTGTATTGTGAGGAAGGGAGAAAAGGACTTCTTTATCGACATGCTCTATCCCACGCATCTATATATCTAATAGTCAAGGTGCCCCCTGCGTGCGGATATCTAAATCTGCACATCAGGGGCACTTGGGGGGCAGGGAGATTTTCCTGCACTTGGGGCAATCCCCAGATGTGTACAAAAATCTAAAAACTGTAAAAAAATATAGGGGGGATATTTAAATCCCCCAAAATGTAGGAAAGCATTCATTGCACATGCGCAGTGAACGCACGGGGACCGGTGCGTCGCAGCCATTGTGGGGGGGGGGCTTGGCGGGCCTGCATCTGCGTGGACCTTGCTGTCACTGCTGGGGGGGGAGGTTTGTCAGTATTTAAATCCCCCCAAAAGTGTGTAGTCAGGCTGCGGCTTGGCGCTACAGAAGAGCAGGTGGTCGCGGAGCCTCCCGCTGCTGCCCCAGTGCCCGCTCGCTGGCTGGGTTGGAGTCCCTGTGCCCGCCCATCGTGCCACAGCTCTCCCCCTTGGCTCCGCAGTTGCCTTCTCTGCGCCTGGCACCACCCCCCTGATCTCCCGGCGGTCCGCCTTGCCGGCTCCCTAACACCGGAGCACTTCTACCCTTGCACGGCAGCCCAACTTCATGTCTGCACGCCTCTCCTGCTTCCTCAGCCCTGAAGAGGCCCCCCCTGCGAGTATCGCGGGTCCCTCTTCTTGTAATCTTATAAACCTCAGTCATGTCACCCCTCAGCCATCATTTCTCCAAGCTAAAGAGCCCCAAGCGCTTTAACCTTTTTTCATAGGGAAAGTGTTCCAACCCTTTTATCATTCTAGTTGCCCTTTTCTGCACTTTTCCCAATGTTATAATATCCTTTTAGAGATGTGGTGACCAGAACTGTACACAGTACTCCAAATGAGGATGTACCATCGATTTATACAGAGGCATTATGATAGTGTAGAATGTGGTTTAGAGGGTCAGGCTAGGGCCTAGAAGACCGAGGTTCAAATTCTGCTTGGCTGCAGAGCTCACTTGGCCAGTCATTTGCTCCCTGTCACATAGGGTTGCCAACCTCCAGGTGGCCTCTGGAGATCTTCCGTTATTGCAATTGATCTCCAGACGACCAAAATCAGGTCCCCTGGAGAAAACAGCTGCTTTGGAGTCTGTGGCATTATACCCTGCTGAGGTCCCTCCCCTCCCCAAACCCCGCCCTCTGTAGGCTCCACCCCCAAAATCTCCCAAATATTTCCCAACCTGGAGCTGGCAACCATACTGCCACAGCTACCTCACAAGGTTGTTGCTATGAGGACAAAATGGAGAAGGAGAAGAAGAAGAAGAAGAAGAGTTGCTTTCTATACCCAGCTCTTTACTACCTGAAGGAGTCTTGGAGCGGCTTATAGTCTCCTTTCCCCTCCTTTCCCCACAACAGACACCCTGTGAGGCAGGTGGAGCTGAGAGAGCTCTGAGAGAACTGTGACTGACCCAAGGTCACCCAGCTGGCTTCACGTGGAGGAGGAGTGGAGAATCAACCCCGGTTCCCCAGATCAGAGCCTGCCGCTCTCAGCTGCTACACCAAGCTGGCTGTGTTGGAGGAGAGATTGACTTCTTTTGTGAAACGTTAGACATTTTTAATGGAGAAGGCGCTACACAAGCGTCTCAGTGAAGCAAAAGGCAGATAAATCGGGCTGCCAGCATTCATGTGTTAGCTAGAGGTCTGCTGGGGTTCCAGCTGAAATCCAGGTGACGGAGATCAGTTCCCCCTGGAGAAAATGGTCACTTTGGAAGGTGGGCTCTATGGCGTTGAATCCCGTTGGAAGCCCCTCCCCTCCCCAAACCCCACCCTCCTCAGGCTCCACCCCCAAAACCTAGTAAGGTAAAGGTAAAGGTTCCCTTGCTCGAAAGCCAGTCGAATCCAACTATAGGGTTGCGGTGCTCATCTCCGTTTCAAAGCCGAAGAGCCAGCGCTGTCCGAAGACGTTTCCGTGGTCATGTGGCCGGCATGACTAAACACCAAGGCGCACGGAACGCTGTTCCCTTCCCATCGAAGTGGTACCTATTTATCTACTTGCAATTTCTTGCTTTCGAACAGCTAGGTAGGCAGGAGCTGGAACTAGAGATGGGAGCTCACCCCGTCTTGCGGCACCCGGGTCTTGAACTGCTGAACTACTGACTTTCCACAGCCTGCAGTTCAGCGTCTTAACCACTTGAGCCACCGCAGCTCCTCAAAACCTAGTAGGGGCCCAAATAAAGCCTCATAAAATGTACAAAGTTACAAATACATCACAAAAGAGAACAGTGTGTGACGCGACGCGTTCCGGCTCACAAGAGCCTTCTTCAGAGGTCAAATAGTGCAAAATGTAGCAAGCAACAGAGTCCCTGTAGCACATGTAAGGCAATTAACAATCAATAGAAAATAAATAAATAAAACAGGACCAAAATTGGAAGGTTCCAATATGGAATTGAATGGCACACCAAAAAGTTTCTATTTGGGGCCACAAGTATATCTGGCCTTGTGTCAGAAGTTGCTGTATGAACTGGAAATATTATGTATTATATTAAATATTATGAGCCGCCTCGGCGGGAGGCCAGGGTAAAAATCCAATTAATTAATTAATTGATTGATTGATTAATTAAATAAATAAATAAAATGTACCTTCCAGTTTAGGTCCTAAGAGTGCAAATAGAATTGCCTTGTCAGGGACAATGTGCCATCATGTGTTACATGTGCCTTACATGTGTTACCTCCTGCCAACCTAGCAGTTCGAAAGCAAGAAATTGCAAGTAGATAAATAGGGACCACTTCGGTGGGAAGGTAACAGCGTTCCGTGCACCTTGGTGTTTAGTCATGCCGGCCACATGACCACGGAAACGTCTTCGGACAGCGCTGGCTCTTCGGCTTTGAAACGGAGATGAGCACCGCAACCCTAGAGTCGGATTCGACTGGCTTTCGAGCAAGGGAACCTTTACCTTTACCTTTACATGTGTTACAGGGACTCTGTTGCTTGTTATATTTTGCACTATTTGACCTCTGAAGAAAGCTTTTGTGAGCCGAAACGCGTCGGGTCATACACTCTTCTCTTTTGTGTGTATTTGTAACTTTGTACATTTTATGAGGCTTTATTTTGGGCCCCTGCTAGGTTTTGATATGTCTTTGTAATAAACACTCTTTTGTACACCTACTTATGTTTTTGAATTTTCGTCCCTCAATTAGTTTCCTAAACTTCCTTTGTCAGTTTAGATTCCCCCCCCCCTCTCTTTTTGGGTGTCCACCTCCAAAATCTCCAGGTATTTCCCAACTATGAGTTGGCCAACCTACAAATAAACCTCAGGAGAGATACAGCCTGATGTCGCACTAGAGCTGCCTCGATGTTGTGCCGCCGTTTGCCCCGATACTATTGGCCAATTTCACACCCGAAGCCGCGGGGCTGCATTTGACCCGCGGCTTTGCCCGATTTCCTCCGCAGTTTCGTGATCCTCAAAAAAACTGGTTGACATTCATGGCCTGGATGTGTCCCACCTCTCACTTCTGGGCCTTGCCTTTCTGTCGGTGTCTAATCATCCCTTTCTCCTCTCCAGAGCTGCCTCTATCCCTGCCGATCTGCTATGGGGCGGAAGAAAATCCAGATCAGCCGGATTTTGGACCAAAGGAACCGGCAGGTGAGCCTTATTCCCAAACGGGTGGTGCTGCCGTGAGCGGCATGCTAGCTGTTCCGGAGAAGAATTGGGGTTATGTTTCCTGATCTTCGAAGGCCGGGGTCATGATTAATGTTTCCCCCCTCCCCGAATAAAAGACTGTATTACTACACTGAGCTCCTCCCCGCCTTCTGTACTCTGTGTTGAGCACCCCCTGCCTGCCTGCAAGGAAGGGAACTCATGCAGAGATGCAAGTTGTAGTCCTGTTTGTGTCTGCATGGGGAGGGGCTGAAGGCCTCATGGCACCTGGCACAGACAGACACAAGTGCAACAGGGTTACTCACAGAGCCTGTTGCCAGCCTCCTCTGCAATGAAAAAGCAAACGCAAGGCTAAAGCGGGGTGGTGGTGAATCATGCAGAGATGCGCCGGGCAGAGACGGTTTTGGTTAATGGGCAACAGGATAGCTGCCCCAGGACCCATGCGGGAGGGGCCTGGCTGCCCGTGGTCCCGCCTCCTGATGGGGGGGGGGAGAAGAAAAAGAGGGGTGTTCTACCACTGCTGTTTGCACATGTCCGGGGGGGGGGGGCTTAGGTGCCTGTTTGCATAGGGTTACCATTTCTGGGTTGGGGAATTCCTGGAGATTTGAGGTAACAACAGCAAAAATTTCCTGTTATTTTTAAATGTATTATTATGTGCATTTATGATGTGCATTTGATATGTAATGATTCGGCGTTTTTCTTTCCTTTTTGACAATTCCAGAAAGCAACACCTGGCTCTAAAGAAAATCTTTGTTCATATATTTATTTCTGGATGTGTGTTGTTTTACGGTAGTAGCATTGACCACTGAGGAAGGCCATAAGGGGCCGAAAGGCATATGGTCTACTGGTCATAGGGTGTTTGGAGTGAGAGCCAGATTGGTGTAGTGGTTAAGTGCGCGGACTCTAATCTGGAAGAACCAGGTTTGGTTCCCCACTCCTCCAATTGCACCTGCTGGATGACCTTGGGCAAGCCATAGTTCTGTCAGAGCTGTTCTTGAAAAAGAGCCGTTTCTGTCAAGAGCTCTCTCAGCCCCACCTACCTCACAGGCAGTGTTCCCTCTAAGCTGAGTTAGTGTGAGCTAGCTCACAGTTTTCTAGCCTCCGGCTCACACATTTTTGTCTTAACTCAGGGAGGATGGCGCCAGAGCCAACTAATTTATTGCTCGCTCACAGCTTTAATGCCAGCAGCTCACAAAGCAGAATAATTGCTCACGAGACTCCACAGCTTAGAGGGAACATTGTGTCTGTTGTGGGGAGGGGAATGGAAGGGAGTTTGTCAGCCGCTCTGAGACTCCTTTGGGTAGTGAAGGGTGGAGTATAAATCCAATCTCTTCTTCTTCTTCTACCCATCAATTGTATATGTAAAACGGTCAGTTCTCTGTGTAAAAAGTTTTAAGAGTCTGATATTTGGATCGTTTATTTTAACCTATTTTATCTTTTACTAATGTGTACACCATTATAAATATTTGTATTTTTATAACAACTTATTTTGGAAGGCTGCAAAGCCAGAGCAGTGACTCGTGCAGAGATATATTGGGCACACTCTTCTCTGCGTGTGTTCTTTCGGCTTTACGGTTCTTGAAAGAGTCTTATGAGGGGTACTGCTGCCCTTCCCAACTATGTCCTTGAATCATTTCCTTTCGGAAGCCCTCCCCTTCCACGCAAGCCAGCTGACCTGCCCTTCTTCCCCTTTGTGACCACAGCTGGCCCTGCCCTTCTTCCAAGGTTCTCCCCTCTGTATGGTCTTCACTACAACCCTGTGAGGTTGGCTAAGCTGAGAGAGTGAGAAAGAGTGCGCAACTGGTCCTAAGGTCACCCAGAGAACTTCACGGCCCTCTTTTCTCCCTCTTGCCCGGGGTCATCCACTGAAACTGAAGGGTGGGAGATTCAGGACAGACAAAAGGAAGTAGTTCTTCACACAGCATGTAGTTGATTTGTGGAACTCCCTGCCACAGGATATAGTCATGGCTGCCAACTTGGAAGGCTTTCAAAGGGGAGTGGACAAATTTCTGGAGGACGGGGCTATCAGTGGCTACTAATTATGATGGACAGCTACTCCCTCCAGTACCAGAGGCAGTGTGCACAGGGCAGGATGATGCTGTCGCAGTCTTCCTTAGGGTTGCTTGGTCCTTACCGTGTTCTGGCAGGGGGGCTCCTTCTTGAAGCCTTCGGTGTGTGCCTCCGGGTGATGTCAGCGCAGGGCGTGTTTTGAGGGGGGACGACGCTCTAGCATTTGAGAAAAAGCTCTATGGTTACCATAGAGGTTTTTCCTCAAATGCTAGAGTGTCCATCCGTCCCCGCAACATGCCCTGCACGATGACTTCACCTCTGGGTGACATCTTCACACCGGGCACGTCAGCGTGGACAGGGATGTTCAGGGGCGGGGCTGCCCTGCTGGCCAGCTGAGTGGCGGCATATTGGGCCTCCCGAAAGTGGGGAAGGATGGCAACCTTCGCCTTCCTGTTTATGGGCTCCGTAGAGGTAGCTGATTGGCCGCTCTGTGAACAGAATGCTGCACTGGATGGGCCTTTGGTCTGATCCAGCAGGGCTCTTCTTCTAATGTTACGTTCTTATGGCTACATCGGGAGTTGAACTCATGTCCTCCTGGAACCCAATCTGACACTCTAGCTCAGGGGTCCCCGCGGCACCTGCTGACAGCTTTCCCAGGGCCCGCCAAGTGTTTTTGGAAAGTGGGTGGGGCTTTTTGTCCAGCAGGGCTCCCGAGTGGCCATTGGAGGTTCAGTTGTGTGCACGGATTCTTAAATACATTGCTTGGGCAGGAGCGGCCATCACAGCACAACGTTCTACAGCTGAAAGCAAACTCCGGACGCCATTTTGTGGCTGGCCCTGCCTCCTGCTTCAGTAGGGACCCCAACCTGCCCCCCTCCGGTCCGGGAGGGGGTTCCCTGGATTTGGAGTGGGCTTCCCCCGACACGATGACGTCGCCCGGGAGTAACGGTTGCCACGCCGGAAATGTTGTGTAGGGGGTGCTCTGGTATTTGGGCAAACGCCATAGAGTTCCACCCAAATACCAGAGCGTCCCCACATGCCATTTACGGCGCAATGACGTCACTTCCGGATGACATCATTGTGTTGGGGATGTTGCGTGACGTCGTCCCCCCCCCCCGACCTCCCAGAATGCCCCCAGAGCCCCCTGCTGGCAGAGGTAAAGGTTACAACAATTTGAGGAAGTTCAGGAAAAATGTAAACCAGGGCTATTTTTGGGCAGGAACGCACAGGAACGGCGTTCCGGCTGGCTCCCAAGTTGGCCACGCCCAGCAGGAACTCATTAGCATAATAGGCCACACCCAGCAGCAGAAACGCATTAGGATTGGCTACATCAGGGGTGTGTGGCCTAACATGCAAAGGAGTTCCTGCTCCAAAAAAAGCCCTGGGTTTTGACAACAAGCAAGGTAAACAGAATAAGAAGCAAAAGGTGGGTGTGGCTGGATGAGCACACTTCTGGTAACATGGGGGTGTGGCCTAATATGCTAATGAGCTGTGCTGTCAGGGCTGTGGTCTAATATGCTAATGCGTTTCTGCTGTTGGGTGTGGCCTATTATGCTAATGAGTCCCTGCTGGGCTTTTTCTACAAAAAAAGCCCTGATGTAAACCGTATGAAACTTAACATCAAGAAAGCTCCACAGTATTACAGTTCCTAAACAGCTCTTCTTATTTCAGTTCAGTTCAGACCAATACAATACAATAGTTACACAGACAAATAAAGAACTTGAAGGGAACAAACCATCCCCAAGTGAGGCTTCACTGTTTTAGGTGGAGAAAAGGCTTCTCAGTTCCAAACTGGAAAAATGAATGTCCACGAAGCAAATGCATCCAGTCTTTAAGACTTGAGGCAAACACAAAATGATGAACTGCAGTCGATCCAATCCTCCACATGAAGCTGCTGGCGTGACCTTGGGACAGTCACAAGTTCTCTCAGAGCTGGTCTCTCAAGAGCAGTTCTCAGAAGAGCAGTGGACTCTAAACCAGAGAACCAAATTTGATTCCTCCCCCCTTCACCTGAAGCCTGCTGGGTGACCTTGGGCCAGTCACAAGTTCTCTCAGAGCTGTTCTCTCAGGAGCAGTCCTCGAAAGAGCTCTCTCAGCCCCGCCTCCCTCCCAGGGTGGGAAGGGAAAGGAGTTTGTAAGCCGCTCTGAGACTCCTTCGGGTAGTGAAGGGCGGGGGTATACATCCAATCTCTTCTTCTCTTCTTCTCTCTTATTCATCCCTCTTATCCATCTCTCCATCGATCCCTTCATCAGGACTGCACGTCGATGGGTTCTCCCAGCAAGTAGTGCCTCCAAAACTGCTTTGTTTTGCAGCAACAGGAACTCCCTCCGAACAATGTCTCAGAACTGCCTTATTTGTCCTTATTCATGATGGACATGTGGCCTCACTTTGCAGGCATTCTCTCATCTAACTATTGTATTGTATTGGTCTGAATTGAAATGAAAGAATAAGAGTTGCTTAGGAATTGTAATCCTGCCAACCTAGCAGTTCGAAAGCAAGAAATTGCGAGTAGATAAATAGGTACCACTTCAGTGGGAAGGTAACAGCGCTCCGTGCGTGTTTAGTCATGCCGGCCACATGACCACGGAAACGTCTTCGGACAGCGCTGGCTCTTCGGCTTTGAAACGGAGATGAGCACCGCAACCGTAGAGTCGGATTTGACTGGCTTTCGAGCAAGGGAACCTTTACCTTTAGGAATTGTAATGCTGTGGAGCTTTTTGGATGTTACATTTCATACGGCAGAGGTAAGGGACCTGGCAACTCTGTGCTTCAACCATTTTGTGACGGCCATTTTGTGTCAGAATTCCAAAAGTGGCCACAGCCTCATAAAGGTTGAGGGGGCCCCCCTGCTCCAACTATCCCACCACATTACCTCTTTGCCAGGTCACCTTCACCAAGAGGAAGTTTGGGCTGATGAAGAAGGCTTACGAGCTGAGCGTCCTGTGTGACTGCGAGATCGCCCTCATCATCTTCAACAGCACCAACCGGCTCTTCCAGTACGCCAGCACGGACATGGACAAGGTGCTCCTGAAATACACCGAATACAGCGAGCCGCACGAGAGCCGGACCAACTCAGATATCCTTGAGGTAAGTGCCGGATGCCCCCGGGGAAGGGCAGGAGGTCGGCTGACCCTTAGGAAGTTCAGGCCCTTCTTCAGACGATGCCTTTCGAACTTGTGGAACTCACTGCCACCAGACATGACAATGGCTCCTAGCTTAGGGTGCGTTCAGACGGGCAACTAATACTGCCGTTGGCCCAGCTCTAATTTGATCCCAATCTTTTTTATCCAGCGTTGCACGACCAGACAGCTCCCCTTCCCGCGTGCGTACTCCGCGGTGGATTGTCTAGACACCTGAAGGAGCCACACGGTCGGGGTTTTTTAAAAAAATTCTGTTTGCGCATGCGCATCCGCGCCTCAACGTGTACTTGTTTTCCCGCGCATGCGCAGAGTTGAATGGTTAAAGCACTGGCAGTGGTACCTCCCTCTAGGTACCTTTTTAATTTAACACAGTTCATAAAATTCACGGGCCGCTCAGAAACATGAAATTGTCCGCAACGTTTGAGCGGCTGTTGCGCGTTTACACGTTTATCGCTAAGAATTTTTTAAAATGGTGCCCGCTCGGGATGGTCTGACATCAGACCATGCCGATGGGAGGATTGCGCGCTGGAATGATCAGACGGGGGAAAGTCTGAAATCAGCCCATCGGGAAGCGAAAACTCCGGACTTTAACTAGTATCTTTTAAGTACGGCTCCGAAGCGCGGCAAAACGGGATGATCACGGAAGAGGCACGTTTCCCAGATGTTGCTGTCTGGTCATTACCTTTAAATTGCTGGCACGGGGAGTGGTGGCACAGTGGGTATATCCCAGTGTCTTAACATCTGAACTGTGTTAGTTCAAGCCCCGCACTGGTGTGAGCAGCCAGCCTGTTGTCCCCAGCTCATCATCCACCCAGCGATTCGAAAGCTTCGGCGAGTAGATAAAATGGGAACCACTCCTTAGAGAGGGTGGGCACGCCAATCTCCCTTGTGGGAGGGTGTTAGCTGACGGTCGGACGTCCTGGTCGAGGCTTGGAAGGCGAAACAGCTTTTCAGCTATGAAAGAATCCCTGCAATGGATGTTCAGGCCAGGCGGTGGCAATGTGGTGATTGACATTTGGGTCCTGAAGCCTGGCCAACACACAGCCGTGCGGAAAACGACAGAGCCAAGCCAGAAGACGTCTATACCGGGCAGTGAAGGCGTGTGCAATTAAAAATGAATATATGTTGTCTTCCCTATCCCCTACAAACATTGTTAGTCCCTTGTCTATATTGAGTAACTGTACATCGCTTTGAGCCCACTGGGGAAAGCGATTAATAAATGGAAATTATTATTATTATTATTATTATTATTATTATTATTATTATTATTATACCCATCTGATTGGGACCTTAGAATGGCTTTTAAGGGGTGATTTAACTTTTGGAGAAGGCATGAGAAGACAGGACTCACTGAAAATGACAATATTGCCGGGGAAAGTGGAAGGCAGGTAGGAAAAGAGGAAGCTGCAACATGAGATGCATTGACTCAGTGGAGGAAGCCCTGGTACTTCAGGAAACCACATTCTAGCTATCCTAAACCCCATTCTGTCTATCCTAAATCCTATGTATCCAAGGCAATTAGTCACAATAGCTAGATGGAGCTTCCGTGTATAGATGCACTCTATCTTTGAGCACTAGGTGCTGCGGGACGAGCCACAAACGGCTTGCGTGCTTCTCAGAGGCATCCGGTGGCCTACAAAACCTACGTACCTTTTTGACAGTGTGGACATTTAGTAGTATATAGTTTTAGTGTCTATTTTTGTTAGTTAAGAAGGCCCCTGCTTCCTCCTGGCTTAGTGAATAAAATGACAGACACGGATACCAGGGAGTCGAGCTCTGGTTTAACCACTGGACTTTCTCCTCCTTCGTTTGGGCTCTCCTGCACCTTCATTTCCTTATTGATTAAAAGAAGAAACTTTATTTTTTACTGTCTGTATGGAAAGTGGGTTTCACATGTGCAAAGATTCATAATTAAAATTGTTCATAACTGACAGAAGAATGGCTTTTCTTGTGTTGCCGAAAGCACCATTTTTTTTTTTTAAGTACGCTGAAACTTTGGGGGGTGGCGGGCGCTGTCTTTTCTTGGGGACATCAGAGGTGCACTATACCACACACTCCCTCAGTTTCTAGAGTGTTCCAAGTAAGTCTTGGATTTCTTTCCCCATTTCATTCTCACATGTATATTGTATGTTGAGTTCATTGAGGTTGGGATTGCTCTACATCTCAATTTAAAATATAGGCCTGTAAAGAAGAGCCCTGCTGGATCAGACCAAACTTGCTCAATGTAAGAGCCACATAGAATAAATGTCAGATGTCTGAGAGCCACGAGACATGAACAGATACTACAAGCACATTTTTACTTAGAAATATGCAAATTTGCTTTTTAATTAACACTAAACGAGACTGCCGAAAATAAAAGCAAAAGGGGTAAAAACAGATATTGATAATGATATTTATTTGTCCAATGATATTTCTTTGTTTGCTAATGATATTTATTTGTCAGAGAGAGAGGGAGGGAGAGAGGGGGGGAAGGAAAGAAGGAAAGAGGTGGAAAGAAAGAAAGAGAGAGAGAGAGAGAAACAAAGAATGCGGAAGGAAGGAAGGAAGGAAGGAAGGAAGGAAGGAAGGAAGGAAGGAAGGAAGGAAGGAAGGAAGGAAGGAAGGAAGGAAGGAAGGAAGGAAGGAAGGAAGGAAGGAAGGAAGGAAGGAAGGAAAAACATGTCTCCCCTCCGCATCCCCAGCCACCCTGCCAGGAGCCGCACAATATGTGTGAAAGAGCCGCATGTGGCTCCCGAGCCACAGTTTGGCCACCCCTGGTCCATAGTCTCTTTTCTGTTATTGTTCTCCAGTGACGTTCGCACTTATTCTGTCTTGGAACATGGAGATTCAATTTAGAGCTATTGCAAAATAGCCATGGAAAGAACCATTCTCTCTCGCTGTGTTCAATCTACTTTTGAAGCCCCTCTAAGCAAGCGGCTGCCATTCCATCTTGTGGCAGTGAGTTCCACGGATGAACTATTTATATGCGTGCGTGTGTTTAAAAGCATGCCAGTCCTTTCCAGTGTTCCCTCTAAGCTGAGTTAGTGTGAGCGAGCTCAGTTTTTTAGCCTCCGGCTCACACATTTTTGCCTCAGCTCAGGAAGGATGGCTCCAGAGCAAACTCATTTATGCAGCAGCCAAATCGCTCGCTCACAACTTTCATGCCAGTAGCTCACCAAGTAGGATTTTTGCTCACATGACTCCACAGCTTAGAGGGAGCATTGATTTCTATAAGCCTCAGAACCTACGCCAGGGGCCCCCAATCTTTTTGAGCCTCTTGGCACTTTGGGAATTCCGACACGGCGCGGTGGACGCAGCATCAAAATGGATGCCTTTGGAGGCGGAGCCAGCCACAAAATGGCTGCCACCGCTTAACTTCAGTCACACAGTGCAGATCCTTGTACTGTGACGGAAGCTGCTGCCAAAGCAACCTTTTAAAAAATCTGCACCTTTAAAAAAAATGCTGCCTTGCTGGGCAAAAGCCGTATCTGGCGCGGCCCACCTCCTAAAAACACTTGGTGGGCTCCAGAATGTTAGCTGGCGCCCACGAGCACCGTGTTGGGGACCCCTGATCTATGCTGCCTTATCCCTGTTTAGAGATGTAAAATTTCCGGAAATTTTGAAGCTCGGGAAAAAAAACTTTTTTTTTTTTCCGGGGGGAAACGGAAATTTTTGGAAAAATTGAAAAAATGCTACATTAGCATTTCTTTTGTCTTTTCCAGATTGAAAGTCATTCTGTTACTTTAGGAACATAAAATATGACTATGGACATTTTTACTTGGCATGAAATTATCAAAACTAGAATATTAAAAATATAGTGTATCCAAACAATTATTTCAAACAGAATACCCACCCAGATGCAAAAACAAAACTGAAACTTTTTTATTTTCTTCTGACAATCGCACCTCCTAAAGGAAGAAATGCATCTTGTTCTTGCATTGGAGGGTTCAGTTTGTAACCTAGGACTTGCTTGTCCTCAGTGCACAGAAATTAGATCAATCTGATACCATATATATATATTTTAGAAATGATTTGGAGAATATTTGAACACCTTGTCTTAAAATATTTTATTCATCGTGTTAAAATAAAACGTTCCATAATCAATTTTTTTTCTTTTTCAATTTTTCGGAAAAAAACAAAAAGGCTTCAGGAAAAAAATGGAAAAAACCCGTTCCCCCCCCCCCGAATTTTTCCGGTTTTTTTCCGGGCCTTCACATCTCTATTCCTGTTCTCTAGACTCTCAAACGAAAAGGCCTGGGTCTGGAGAGCCCGGAACTGGATCTTGAAGACGCTTTGGCCCCCGTGGGGAAACTGAGGCGCCTTGGTGAGGGTGTGGACCTGAGTGCGTCGCGGCCAAAACTAACCGTGAGTAATCACTTCCTGAGTCTAGACAGGCCTTTCTCCCCTCCACCCCACCCCCCAGCCTAACCTTTTTGCCTGTTCACCTCTCTTAGCAGTCGGCTGCTTCCTTGTGTAGTCTGGAGGGGGCGTCGGCGGGGACTCCCCCCTCTGGAAGCGAGGGGGGGCCGAGCAGCGCAGGAGGGTCTCCCCTTCAACCGAGTCGTCTGCCGCCGTTCAAGCCGGCTCTCCCCAAGCACGGGACTCCATCCAGGCCCTCTCCAAGTTCCCTCACATCCGGTATGGAATTCTTCCTTAGGCTTGGCCAGAGCAAGCGGACTCAGCTGCAGTGGGGGCCAGTTTGGTGCCGTGGTTAGGAGCACGGACTCTAATCTGGGAGAACCGGGTTTGATTCCCCACTCCTCCCCTTGCAGCTGCTGGTGTGACCTTGGGTCAGTCACAGGTTCTCTCAAGAGCAGTCCTCGAAAGAGCTCTCCCAGCCCCACCGACCTCACAGGGTGTCTGTGGTGGGGAGGGGAAGGGAGAGGAGTTTGTAAGCCGCTCTGAGACTCCCTTGGGAAATGAAGCCAGGGAAGTGAAGTTACCTTTACCTATACGTTAGCAGGGTGGATCCTCTGGGACTCTTTTCTCCACCAAAGCAATGACGTAAGCAACCCCAGGTTTTCCTTTCTCTTCCCAGGCCCTTTCTGCACCAGTCTTTTCCCTCGCTTTCACAGCGCATCTCCGTCGCAGTATCTTTTTCGTTCTGTGTTTCCACCCACTTTCACCTGGCATGTATGTTGGGGTTTGTTTGTTTTTTTAGTTCCGCATTGATGTTTGTCCCTTCAGCTCTCCGTTCGCTTTCCGTTCACTGTTTCCCCAGCTTTTCTGAGAGTGCTTCTGCTGTGGTCTTTCCCCTTTGAGAGTTGTGAAAGACATTTGCTCCTTGGTTAAGAAGAAATGGAAGGATGAGCCAGTGTGGGGTAGAGGTAACTGTGCCAGACTAGGATCTGGGAAACCCAGGTTTGATTCCCCGGGCCGCCATGGAAGCCTGCTGGGTGAGCTTGGGCCAGTCGCGCACTCGCAGCCTAACCTACCTCACAGGGTTGTTGTGAAAATAAAATGCAGGCCTCGCGAATATTCTGAGCCACTCTGGATCCCCAGTGGGGAGAAAGGTGGGGGTATGAATGAAGTAAATGAATAAAGGTCCTCTCCGCATTTGCCTGCCGCTCCAGATTTTCTGTGTTCGAGTTGAGGCCATTCATGTCCAGGGCAAAACAGCATCCAAATAAACCGGGGCAACAGCAAGCTGAAACCAGGCTGGAAGAAGAGGAAGAAGAAGAGGAAGAGATTGGATTTATACCCTGCCCTTCACTACCCAAGGGAGTCTCAGAGCGGCTTACAGACTCCTTTCCCTTCCCCTCCCCACAACAGACACCCTGTGAGGTAAAAGGAGAAGAAGAGATTGGAGTTATACCCCGCCCTTCACTACCCAAAGGTGTCTCAGAGCGGCTTACGAACTCCTCTCCCTTCCCCTCCCCACAACAGACACCCTGTGAGGTAAAAGGAGAAGAAGAGATTGGAGTTATACCCCGCCCTTCACTACCCAAAGGTGTCTCAGAGCGGCTTACGAACTCCTCTCCCTTCCCCTCCCCACAACAGACACCCTGTGAGGTAAAAGGAGAAGAAGAGATTGGAGTTATACCCCGCCCTTCACTACCCAAAGGTGTCTCAGAGCGGCTTACGAACTCCTCTCCCTTCCCCTCCCCACAACAGACACCCTGTGAGGTAAAAGGAGAAGAAGAGATTGGAGTTATACCCCGCCCTTCACTACCCAAAGGTGTCTCAGAGCGGCTTACGAACTCCTCTCCCTTCCCCTCCCCACAACAGACACCCTGTGAGGTAAAAGGAGAAGAAGAGATTGGAGTTATACCCCGCCCTTCACTACCCAAAGGTGTCTCAGAGCGGCTTACGAACTCCTCTCCCTTCCCCTCCCCACAACAGACACCCTGTGAGGAAGGCGGGACTGAGAGAGCTCTGAGAGAGCTGTGACTGAGAGAGCTGGCTTAATCTTGGAGGAGGAGTGGGGAACCAACCCCGGTTCTCCAGATTGGAGTCTGCCGCTCTTAACACTCACAACAGGGTTCAGCCATTTGCGATTCTCTGTCTCCACTGGCATGGCGCGGGGTGAAGTCTACCGTTCCTGGGTTGTGTCCCTGCACGGTGACCTCAGACTGATGTTTTCCCTGGGTCTCTCCCAGCAGGTGTCAGCTATCCGATCTTCTCGCATGGCAACCTGAGTCGCGCGCTGTCCAACAGAACCCCACCCCCACTGTATCTGGGGGCTGATGCCCGTCGGACCGAAGGGCACCATTCCGGTGGCAGGAACAACGTGGCGTCGGCTGTGAGTGCCACTTCACTCCCTTCTCCGGGCAGGGCAGGAGGGCCAATGTTTGTACCTCTTAGGGTTGCCGGCTCTGGGTTGGAGCACTCCTGCCAGTTTGGAGGTGGTGCCAGGTTTTGCAGGGGGAGGTGGGGCTCGGGAGGGCATGATGCCACTGAGTCCACTCCCTGAAGCTTTCATTTCCTCTGGGGAGCGGACTTCTGTCATCTGGGGATCAGTCTCAGGTAGGTGCACATCACTGTTCCCGCTAAGCTGAATGAGTGTGAGCTAGCTCACGGGGTTTTTAGCCTCTGGCTCACCCATTTTCGTCTTGGCTCAGGAAAGACGGCTCCAGAGCAGTGCTCCCTCTAAGCTGTGGAGTCTTGTGAGCAGGGGTCATTTCGTAGAAAAAGAGGTGCAGGAGCTCATTCGCATAACTCATTCGCATAACTTATTTGCATATGCCACGCCCCCTGACATCACCGGGAGTGTGTCAGAAGGCAACACCCACCGCTCAGGCTCCACTGGACTGTTTTGGATCGCTAGCTATTGGGGGGGGGGAACGTGCAGATCTGTCCTCGCAGAGGAGGGAGAGCTTGTACCTGAATAAAACTTGGCCTTAAAGGTGCCACTGGACTGTTTTGGATTGCTAGCTGGGGGGGGGGAATGCGCAGATCTTTGATCACAGAGGAGGGAGAGCTTGTTCCTGAATAAAACTTGGCCTTAAAGGTGCCACTGGACTGAGAAGGAAATGAGAGGGAAGGAAGGGAAGGGAAGGGAAGGGAAGGGAAGGGGAGGAAGGAAGGAAGGAAGGAAGGAAGGAAGGAAGGAAGGAAGGAAGGAAGGAAGGAAGGAAGGAAGGAAGGTTCTTGCTCCTTGTGGGCTGGGGCCGCTGAAAGCTGGGGGTGGGGCTTGTTGCATGTGCCCGACCCCTGGGCTCGTTACTGCCGGAGCTCCGCTCCTGTGCGCTCCTGCAGGAAATGACCCCTGCTTGTGAGCAAAAATTCTACTCCGTGAGCTCCTGGCATTAAAGTTGTGAGTGAGCAATTTGACTCCTGCCTAAATTAGTTTGCTCTGGAGCCGTCCTTCCTGAGCAAAGGCAAAAAATGTGTGAGCCGGAGGCTAAAAAACTGTGAGCTGGCTGACACTCACCCAGCTTAGAGGGAACACTGCTCCAGAGCAAACTCTTTTTAGCAGCAGCCCGATCGCTCGCTCACAACTTTATTGCCAGTCGCTCACAAAGTAGACTTTTTGCTCAGAAGGCTCCACAGCTTAGCGGGAGCGTGAACTGCCTTTTACTGAGTCAGACCCTCGGTCCATCAAACTCGGTATTGCCTACTCAGACTGGCAGCGGCTCTCCAAGGTCTCACGCAGAGGTCTTTCCCGTCCCTTCAACTGGAGAGGCCGGGGATTGAACCCGGGACCTTCTGCATGCCAAGCAGATGCTCTGCCACTGAGCCACAGCCCGTCCCTAATTGGGTAGCTGTGTCCGTCTCCAGTAGTACAGTTCGATTATAGTCCATAGCACCTTAGAGACCCACAGGAGTTCAGTTGTCATCTGGGTGAACTCCAGACCCCACCTGGAGGTTGGCAATCCTATGCTGGAAGGTGGAGTGATCCAGCACTGGCAGGGCGGGCAAGAACGGGAAAGGGACCCTATCTAATTAGGGTTCACCGTTCTTCTTTTGCACGCAGGCAGCTCTTGTGGTCAGGATGGGGTGGGGGGCAGTGTTGCCGGACACCTGTGATCTCCCCCTTCTCAATTATTTTCCCAGCAGCGTTCCTTATATCCCAGCTTCCAGACCATGAGCCCCGTGTTGCCCTCCGGAAGTAGCTCTCTTCCCGGACACGGTCTCCCGGGTTATCCTTTTCTCCCCTGCAGCCAAGCAGGTAAGGTCACCTTCTGGGATGCTGATGTGGCCAGAAATCGGGCCTGACTCTTGGGAGCTACTGAGAAGCTGTCTACAGATGGGGGAGGAAATTGGGGTGGGTGGGTGTTCAGTTCCCTGTGACTGGCAGGTAGTATGAAGTCTCTGGGTTGGCCAGGCCTGGTGTACAAGGGAAGAGGCTTCTGTGCTTACTGGAACAACAGAGTTCTCTGGTTGTCATTTCCTTTGCATAAGAACATCAGAACAGCCCTGCTGGATCAGACCAGTAGTCCATCTAGTACAGCATCCTGTCTCACCCAGGGTCCAACCAGTTCCTCGGGAAGGCCAATAACAGGGCATAGAGGCCGAGGCCTTCATCAGAACATAAGAAGAGCCCTGCTGGATCAGACAAATGGTCCATCTGGTCCAGCATCCTGTCTCACACAGGGGCCAGCCAGTTCCTCTGGGGGGCCAACAACAGGGCATAGAGGCTGAGGCCTTCCCTCATAAGAGCATAAGAAGAGCCCTGCTGGGTCAGACCAGTGGTCCATCTGGTCCAGCATCCTGCCTCACATAGGGGCCAGCCAGTTCCCCTGGAGGGCCAACAACAGCAGGGCACAGAGGCCGAGGCCTTCCCTGATAAGAACATCAGAAGAGCTCTACTGGGTCAGACCAGTGGTCCCTCTAGTCCAGCATCCTGTCTCACACAGTGGCCAACCAGTTCCTCTGGAGGGCCAACAACAGGGCAGAGAGGCCGAGGCCTTCCCCTGAGAAGAACATCAGAAGAGCCCTGCTGGATCAGACCAGTGGTCCCTCTAGTCCAGCATCCTGTCTCACACAGTGGCCAACCAGTTCCTCTGGAGGGCCAACAACAGGGCAGAGAGGCCGAGGCCTTCCCTGATAAGAACATGAGAAGAGCCCTGCTGGGTCAGACCAGTGGTCCATCTAGTCCAGCATCCTGTCTCACACGGGGGCCATCCAGTTCCTCTGGAGGGCCAACAGCAGGGCGTAGAGGCTGAGGCCTTCCCTGATAAGAACATAAGAAGAGCTCTGCTGGGTCAGACCAGTGGTCCCTCTAGTCCAGCATCCTGTCTCACACAGGGTCCAACCGGTTCCTCTGGAGGGCCAACAACAGGGCATAGAGGCCGAGGCCTTCCCTGATGTTGCCTCCTGGCTCTGGGCTTCAGAGGTTCAGTGCCTCTGACTGTGGAGGTTCCCCTCGGCCACCATGGCTAGTGACCCCTGACAGACTTGTTCTCCAGGAGTCTCTCCAATCCCGTGACATCCCTCTGGCAGCGAATCCCACATTTGAATCAGTGTGTCAAGCAGTCCTTCCTTTTGTCTGGAGAGCCAGTTTGGTGTCATGGTTAGGAGCGCGGACTCTGATCTGAGAGAAACAGATTTGATTCTCGACTCCTCCACATGCAGCTGCTGGTGTGACCTTGGGTCAGTCGCAAGTTCTTTCACAGCTGCTCTCTCAAGGGCAGTTTCTGTCAGAGCTCTCTCAGCCCTGCCAACCTCCCAGGGTGTCTCTTGTGGGGGAGCGGGAGGGAAAGGAGATTGTAAGCCACTCTGAGACTCTAAATCTCTTCTGCTTCTCCTCCTCCTCCTCCTCTCTCTCCTCCTTCTTCTCCTCCTCCTCTTCCTCCTCCTTCTACTCTTCCTCCTTCTCCTCCTCCCTCTCCTTCTTCTCCTCTTCCTCCTCCTCCTTCTTCTCCTTCTTTCTGTGGTACCCCCAAATGGCACTGCAGAGTATCCCTCTGGAGACGGCTCCTTGCATCCCTTTGGCTTCCAGGCTGGCACCGTGGCTCCGTGGCAACGAGACATGGCAGTTGCTGGACACCCATCGTTGGGGTAAGATGTGGAAGGGGGCGGCATGACCAACACAGCCCTTCCGTGCAGGGACAGCGTCAGCATACCCTGAAGTGGGACAGACTACCAGGGTGTTCAACAGGCCCGTAGCCACAGTGGGGCTTTGGGGGGCTCCGCCCCCTTTCTTAAAGGCACAACCCCACAAGAATTTATCCTGTAAATCAGGGATTTTTTTGGTAGAAAAAGCCCAGCAGGAACTCATTAGCATAATAGGCCACACCCAACAGCAGGAGCTCATTAGCATATTAGGCCACACCATTGACAGCACAACTCATTAGCATATTAGGCCACACCCCAAGTTACCAGAAGTGTGGTCATCCAGCCACACCCACCTTTTGCTTCTTATTCTGTTGACCTTGTTTGTTGTCAAAACCCAAGGCTTTTTTGTAGCAGGAACTCCTTTGCATGTTAGGCCACACACCCCTAATGTAGCCAATCCTAATGAGTTTCTGCTGTTGGGTGTGGCCTGTTATGCTAATGAGTTCCTGCTGGGTGTGGCCAACTTGGGAGCCAGCCGGAACTCCGTTCCTGTGCGTTCCTGCCCAAAAATAGCCCTGCTGTAAATGCATTTTTCAATCACTTTAAAACACCTGTACACCTTTAAGCAGAGTGGGGTGCTATAGTTGACAAATCCCCGCAATGAGAAAGGGGGTTGGAGTAGGTGACCCCTAGGATCCCTTCTAACTCTGTGTCAAGAAACTGGTCTCCTTTCTGAGAGTTCTGTTGGCTAAATGGCTTTTCTTTCTGCACTGAGAACGTCAGTCCCACCAGAAAAAAAATTGCCCCACAAGCCACAAAATCCTGCCTATGGGCCTTGTGTTGGATATTTAGCAGAGTAAATGAAGCTCAGTGGGGCAATGCAGCACAGAGACGTGGGTGATCTAAGGAAAACGTCTAAGGAAAAGTTGACTTCAAAATCAGGGAAAGGGTTACATGGAAAGAAAACAACACTTTAACAAACTCATCTTTATAGTTTTGATCTTCTCCAAATTGTTTCTTCGCGCCCTCTGACCCTAAGAAGGAAGGCATAGAAGTTTCCCCCAAAGCTCTTGTGTATGTGCAGAATAGCATGAACTATTTCCATTATATCCATTAGCCAATAGTCAAGGTCACCTCATAAGACCCTCCCCCTTTTTGGTTTCGAAGAATCTACTCAACACCTGATTGGTTCCGTGCTGAACTTGCTACTTATCAGCTTACAGAAACTTCAGATTAACCCTTTCATGGCTGAAGGAATGACACTTGCAAGTTTCTGGCATGGCCCACGGTCGTTGACCAGGAGCCTTCCCTGCTGCCCACCTGCTTGTCCCCCTCGGCCGTGCCTGCTGTCTGTGGTAGGCACTGCCCAGTATCATCAGAGAGCAGGCGTGTGAGCAAGAGCGGGCATCCATGAGTGCCGGTGGCGAGAGGACTTGCAAGAGGGTGGGGAAAGGCGGTGCAGGCATGTGGGTCAGCGGGTGGGATGGGGGGCCTGGGCACTCTCCGCCCAGGGCCTCCCCAAATCTGCAACCAGCCCTGCCTCTAAAGTTTCCCATTTGGAGGCGTCTCCGATCCCAGGGCCACCGCGCAGGCACGTGTGCTGTTCGGTCCCTCGGCCCCTTTCTCCCCAGCAGAGAGGTAGTAAAAGGCTATGGAAGGCCTCCCTGGGCAGAGCTTTCTCTTCCTCCTGCGCCTCAGTCGCTCATTCCCAGCCCTGAGCCAAAGCCTCAGAGGAGAGACCGTGCGGACCACACTGGGAGAGAAGGGGCCGAGAGGCCTTTGGCTGGTGTGGAAGTCCATCCAAACAAGAAGGTCACAGCCACAATCAATCACAAGCAGGGGTCATTTCCTGCAGGAGCAGGGCTCCTGCAGTAAAGAGCCCAGGGGGCGGGCACATGCAACAAGCCCCACCCCCTGCTCCCAGCAGCCCTCAGTCAAAGCAAGAAGCAGCCAGGTAAGCTGCAGAGCCCCCCCCTGCCCCCCTGGTCCAGTGGCACCTTTAAGACCAAGTTTTATTCAGGTTCAAGCTCTGCCTCCTCTATGAGGACAGATCTGCATGTTCCCCCCCCCCAATAGCTAGCAATCCAAAACAGTCCAGTGGAGCGTGAGCGGTGGGTGTTGCCTTCTGACACACTTCCGGTGATGTCAGGGGGTGTGGCATATGCAAATAAGCCATGCTAGTGAGTTATGCTAATGAGCTCTTGCACCTCTTTTTCTACGAAACGACCCCTGAAAGGATAGTATGCACAAAGCTGTGAAGGCAAGCGCTGTAATACACAAAAAGAAGACTGCACACTTGAACATAAAGTGAATATTATAATGGCAGATGAATATAGACACGTCCGGTAAGTATATAATGATAACAAAGTCTACGGTAAAGCACGGATTGAATAAGAAGTCCTCAGAAGACTTATAGCAATGAACCAAGTTGACAAAATTTCCCTGGAGTAAACTTCCATTTCGTTGGCAACTTCTTCCGAACGACATCAAAACAACAGAATTGTGTCTTCCATTATTCCATAGATTGCATATTCCAAAAGGGAATACAAAAGTCCTCATCCATTGTGTAGGGTGATTCTTAGAAAGCGGGCACATTACTTTTCTTACTAACGGAATTCTGAAGGCTAAGAGACAGCCCAAAGTCCATCACTTCCAACAGTCTCCTGGAGATCAGTTGTCTTAAGGTAAAGGTAAAGGTCCCCTTGCTCGAAAGCCAGTCGAATCCGACTCTAGGGTTGTGGTGCTCATCTCCGTTTCAAAGCCGAAGAGCCAGTGCTGTCCGAAGACGTTTCCGTGGTCATATGGCCGGCATGACTAAACACCAAGGTGCACGGAACGCTGTTACCTTCCCACCCAAGCAGTACCTATTTATCTACTTGCAATTTCTTGCTTTCGAACTGCTAGGTTGGCAGGAGACGCAGGTTAAACGCATCGGCAAAAGCAGAGAACTGAAATCCTGGCCCAAATTATTTTTTTATTTTGTTAGAAAGGACTGCAAGGAGGAGGGAGAGGGGGATTTTGCTGCTTGGTATTTTGACCGCAAAAGTTTTTCTGAAGAATTGTTCCAAGGCTGATGCGGCAAGTTGGACTGGAGGCCATTGATGGGCTCTGGTATCTGGCGCCACCTTGTGGCTTACGCTGTGCTTTGCACCAAGGAGGTCTTGGTGGCTT